TCTGGTCAGAGCTCTGAAGAGCCCTACTCAAGCACAGAAGGGAAAATCACTCCTCCTGTCCCCCAGGGACTTGGGAAACGGGTATTTAGGGGCACTCGGGGCCCTCAAGTCTCACCTAAGGGAAGGCTATGTCTCAAACTTAGGACTTGTATGAATCCGGTACCCACTCAGGACACTTTTCCTGCATACTCCATGTGCAGGAAATTCTGGGATCTTTCCATTTTGAAATTGCACCCAAAAGAAAGACATGAATCGGGGGAAACCTTATGGAAAATATTGCCTGTGTTCCTCAACCAACAAGAAGCGAACGTACCGTGGCAATACAAAGACACCACCAGGACCCACGCGAAAATCAGGACTTTCTCTGTCTGATACCACCAGATGTCTCCTCTCTGGGGTCTAAAACCGAGACAGAGATATGTGAGAGCACTCCAGGGACATTTATGTCTTGTTTATAAAGCATTTCTTCTGCTCAGAGAAGACACAGCCACTCGGATGTCCTATAACAAAGTTTTCTTTGGCTAATATGGGCCCCTCGGCTTTTCAGGCAGAAGCTGCACAGCTCAGAGTTGCCAAGGAGCAAGAACGTTGGCACGTATTGTCCCATGCAAGCTGCAGTCTTTCAGGTGCACAACAGGAATATGGGGAACTGGAGCTGCTGTGCCTGCTGCCCCAGCATCCCAGATGTGGTCCAAGAAGTTGATTCAAAAGCAGTAAGGTCAACCCATGGCTGTCAACACGCAGGGAAACAAAACGTTGGCTTTCTATGAGGGCTGAAGTAGAATGGGATGTGCAGTTGGCATGTCCCCATGTGTTGGACTCTTTCTCTAGTCAGTGTCTACTTTTGAACCCATCAAAGCCTCGCCATTATAATTTCTAGGACACGTAGTGGGATGCTGGGCTAGGCAGAGCCTTGATCTAACTCTAGGTGACTCTTCCTGGACTCTCCTACATCAGCTGGACCGCTGCGTAGCAGAGCAGGACACTACAGAGTTAGCCCTGCCTCCCCATGACCTCCCCAGTGGCCGTGAGGGTCCAGAAAGGCCACCAGAAATCAGTTCAGTCTTCCTTTGAGAAGTATAGTGGTACAGGGAAGGGATCAACATACACTGAGAAGGGCTTCCAGCAGCTTTTCAGAGCCATCCACAGCGAGGAGAAAGTCATCAAAAAATCTCATAGTGACTTCCTTGTTTCGTATGGAAAGAATGCCGATGGCCTTGAAGATAAAGTCTGTGTCCTGTCTTTTAGAGGTGGCCCGAAAGAATGATGTCACGGTCTCGTACACACAACATTGTACCTTTGTAAAAGGTAGTTGGGCACAGGCGGAGAGCTCCTCACACCTCAGAGGGACAACTGTTACATCTGCTAGAGAACACAAAAAGAGGAACAAAGTCACCTCTGTGGCAGGACAGCATAGGCTCCAAGAAGGTGTCAGCAGCTTCAGGCAGGACATTGCTCCAGTACAGTCTGTTGAATCCCATGCTAGTGGCTTCTAAGAGTGCCTGGGGGGTGAACACCCTGTGGGAGGGAAAGCGGGTGCAGATCCCACAATGAAGTCCATGGTTCTCGCCCACAAGTGTGCCCACACCCATTGAGCTCCAGCTAAGTCTCCGCCAGACTCATGGAGAAGCAACGGAGGAGTAAAATGCAAGGACCCCACAGCAGCGTACTTCTGTCTCCCTGCCCCTCACACCCATGCACCCACTTGATGTTTCAATCACATGGAAGGTGGGGTTATGTGATAGAGAAGAACCCATCCAAACACAGACCCAAGCTCTTTGTGCCCCATAGTGTCATTCATGTCACGTTGCACCTGTGCTGACCAGAAGTCATGGCAAATGTGGCCATCCACAAGTCCTTCCACAAACTCTTGTCCCCATCTTTGGTTCTGGTCTTTCTACACGTGACTTGTGCCCACTTTGCTACAGAAGGAGCTTGTAAGAGTCAACAGGAACTCTGGCCTTTGCCCTTACAAGGAGATGGTCAGCGCGATAAAGGTGGAGCATGAGCTTTGTCTCAGTTTCATCAGGAAAAGCTGCTCCAATAAATTACAGTCTAAAAGCGGTAGTCCTAATATTGCGTAACCGTGAATGGTATGGAGCCAAGTGGGTAAGCAATTAAAGAAGAGATCCTCTAGCTGAATGCTTGTCATCAAAAAAGGACACCCAACAGGTATTTCTAAGAAATTGCTCCTTGATGGCCTGTTCAGTTTGAACAAGTTGAGGTTGTTCTCAGGACATATTTAGGCATTCAGTCACACCTTAACAGCAGTTAGCGTGTGCCTCGAGGGTGGTGCAAGGGTAGGCAAAGGTTTTAATCCGTCTTCTTACCAGGAACATCTTCTTCAGCGTAGCTAAGGTTGCATTCATCCGCAACCACCTTGGACATATGAAACATGGGTCTCCGAACAACCGAAACCTCGCTGTTCACAGTGCACATGTAGTCTTTAAGAACATAGAATGTCCCAATTCCTAACAGCTGGACACCCTGAGAACAGTGGGGGTAAAAAGAAGGAACAATTGTAAGTATTCAATGACTTGTCAGAGCATGGGAATGCCGCCTTATGCCTTGCCCACCCCAAGCCTACAAAGGCCAAGGTGGGACACTGAGGAAGCTTTGGACAAAAAGCACATACTGCAGGTCTTTTTTGCTCTTTCTCCTCTGCTCTGCCCAAGAAAGCTATTGGGAAAAGCGGCTGCAGAGTCGACATGCCTCTCCTAGCTACAATGGGAGGGGTTTCCAACAGGAACGAACCCTTAAAGAGGTACCAGGGTGTGGTCTTCCCATTCTGGCAGTGGAGATGAGAGAAGGCCCAGAAAGTGTTTAACACTTTCTTCTTCTTCATCTGGACTTTCATTTTTATCGCAGGTGCCAGAGAAGTTGGTCTGTGCCATGTTTGTTGGTAGCAGTGTCCCGCTGGGTGACTGTTTGTGCTTTCAGAGTGGGGAAGCGATGGCACCCAATGGCACAGCGTTGTCTGGACTAGGCAAGCTCTCAGGGTTTCACGAAGGGAAGAAGATGATGCAAGACTCACCCTATCCTGTGCCAAGTGCTGTCTAATGCGTTCAGACACGCTATCCCAAATCATAATGATCTCTGGAAAGCAAGCGAAAGACGTGTCATGCTCCAAATCAGCAAGTTCACAACGCTTCAGCAGCACACTCTTACCCAGGGAGGTGACGAGTGTGATTGAATGTATTGCCACGCCAATTAAGAACGTGTAAGGTGCTCCACATGACAGAAGATGTAGGAAATTGGGAACAGATGTCCACACCAGTGAGAGGATGGTGTGGTGCCCACAGAGGGCCAGGAGGTTCAGCAGACCACCAAGTATCTCCCCTGCAGGGACCACTGTCAACCCTCGGAGCTCTGGGCTGGCAATCCCTTCTTCAAGGTAAGTGGCAACCCTTGGTGCCAGAGGCTTCAACATGGGGAGGAGGCAGCAGAGCAGGGGCAGAGGAAGGTCCTCAGGAAGAGGACCCAGGAGTCCTGGCTGCCAGATTGATCCTGAACCAGGAAGGGATGAAGAGATAGGGCTCTTGTTGTACCCACCAGCCCTGTCCAGTCCTCCCCAAAAGCCCCCATGTTTCTGCTACTTTCACAGCTAAAATTGTCTACAACATCCAGAAACTAACTCCTGCAAGCCTCACCATCAGGGGTGAGATTCTTGAGTGTTGGAAACTCATCTGGCCACAGGTTTTCCATCTTTGTCCCCCCCTCCCTCTGGGTTAACTCCTGTAGCAGGAGGGTGAGAAGGAAACATCTCTTCCACAATCTCTACCTCCTTCTTTGACTTCACCCAAGGGTCTCCAGCGTCTCCAGCTCCATCCTGGCGTGGAATGTCCCATTGTGACCCCAGGCTGTGTCACAGAGGGGCTGCAAGGGCTCCTCTGATCCCCCCTTAGCCTCCCCCAGATCCTAGATCCTGATCCCAGATCAGGTTTTGCCCTACAAGAGGGAGGGGAGGTGCGGTGGGTGTTGTGAGGTGCTATCCCCGCCTCACTACCCACTTCCCAAGGAGAAGAGAGGGGCACTGAGAGCCATGGGGGATGTCCCCAGATGGGGGCTCACCTTGTGCACTCCAGATGCGCTGGTTAGCTTGTCAGTCCCAATTAGAGAGGCCGTGCCACCACGGCTGGTATGGGGCTGCGCACACAGCGGCATTCCAGTTCCTGGGATACAGACAAGGCTTGGAGACCAACCCACACAGCAGCATCCCCATTACTGGGATACCAGTGAGGCTCAGGGACCCCGTTATGGAATTTTCCTTTATGTGAGAGAGCAGCTGGAGTGCATGGAGCTCTGCCTGGGGATGGGTGATGAGCCAGCTGCGAGCTTGTGGGTCAGGGTCACGGAGAAGACAGGGATGGGTGTCATTGTAGTGGGTGTCTGCTGTAGGCTGCCTGATCAGGAGGAACACGTGCGTGAGGCCTTCTACAGACAGCTAGAAGTAGTCTCATGTTTGCAGGTCCTGGTCTTCACAGGGTGTTTTAACCACCCCAATATCTGCTGGAGGGACAACTCAGCAGCGCATAAGCAACACAGGATGATCCCAGAGGGCATTGGTGATAACTTCCTGGCATATGGGACACAGGAGCCAACGAGAAGCAGTGATCTGCTGGCCCTTGTACCTACAAACAAGGAAAGCTTCACTGGGACGGACGCCTGATGCGTTGGATGGTTGTGGTGCCATTCAGAGGGAGAGCTGTGGCATGAGCCCCTCTGTGCCCAGGGACCAAAGCCCTGCCAGGGTGATGTCCAGGCCACCAGTCAGAGGCGATCAGACATTCTGACCAACCTCGCTCAATTATAGGCAGCAATACGTCTGAGAAGTTCTCTCAAAGCACTAGTGAAGACTCTCACAGTGACAGTTAAAAGGAGACCAAGAGGAAGGCTCAAACACCACCACTACTTGTTCACAGACACAAATTTATTAAGACATAGGCACAACTTGGTGCAGCGGCAAAAGGGACCTGCTGTGAGGATCCTGGACTGGCCTCTCACCAGGGTATAACCTTCCCCTCCCAGTCCAGGAAGGTCCCAGTCTCCTTCTCGGAGAGGGAGGACAGCACCTTCAGCATCCCTCGCACACTCTCATCCACCGTCAAAATGGGCTGCAGGGGCAGAAGGAGAAACACAGCCACATGTCAAAGGCCTGGCTAAGGTCTGCCCTGGAGCAGATCATTGCTCAGGGCTTGGGGCTTTCTGAAGTGAGTGAGGAGAGACCACCACAGGGCAAGAAGAGTTTCTTGTCTCTCATCTCCTTCCCTCATGTGCCTCCAGATCAGGGTACCTGCCAAAGAGCTCCCCCAGAGCCCAGCATGTCTGGGACTGTTCAATCCACAGCATTCCCAAATAAAGACGTTCTTCCAGACCTTGGCCATAAGCTCTCTTACCTTTTCTGATCCTGAGCCCCCCATGTCGGTTTGCACCCAGCCGGGGTGGAGAGCAACACAGAGGACGCCATGTACCCGGTACCCCAGGGACTGGCACTTGGTCAGCATGTTCAGAGCAGCCTGTTGGGAGACAGGGCAGGGATGGCAGTGGGAGGGGAAGGGTGGCTGCAAGGGGACACGTCCAGACCCCGCGGCAGGGACAAGGCAGGGCGGGTGGAGCCAGCTTCGCAGGGCACACAGTGCTGCTGCACTATCCCCGTGCAGATGCCCAGACCAGCCGAGGGCCCGTCCTGGCACGTCCCTCTGAAGTGGCACCCGAGGCCAGGCACAGGAATGTGCCGTGAGAGGGACCCAGTGACTGGCAGGAGCTCAGGCACAGTGCAGAGAGCGCAGGGACTGGCAGGGAGCTCGGAAGGAGATGGTTCAGAGAGGAAAATGCCTGGTCTCACACCCGGCAGTGTGGCAATACCTTGCTGCAGCGGTATGAGATAACATGTCCATAATTCCATAAATAGACTTCCTCAATGGAGCCTGCCGTGCTGGACATGTTGATGATGGCTGCCTTGCTGCAGCTCAGTGCTGAGCCCGGGCTCCCCTGGGCAGCCTTCTTCAGCAAGGGCAGGAACGCCTGCAAGGAGAGGGAGAGGGAGAGGGAGAGGGAGAGGGAGAGGGAGAGGGAGGGGAAGGG